CAATTTTCACTTTAAATTAAAACCTGGAAATTGCTCAGGGTTACAAGGATGAGCCGTTAGACACTGGTTCTGAGGTGGTGCTCGCTTCCCGTCTCCCTCTGCTCTGCGGAATAGTGTGCTTCTGCCTAAGTCATTGGGCCTGAAGGCTCTTCTCACCCCCACCTCCCTCCATGGCTCCCACCCTCCCTCCCAGCCCCTGCACCGACCTCAGCCGCGTCCCCTCCATGCCTCACACTGGCCTTGGCTGCCAGGTCGAGGTAGAACTCCCCTCATACCCTCCTGTGTCCAGGGGTGGAGGTGAATTGGGGTCTGGATGCCAAGAATGGAGGAAGGACAAATGCCAGCCCCAGAGACCCTAGCCTCCTCAAAGACCAACGGGAGATGGCGCCTGTCCGCCCAGCAGCAGCCAGGCCGGGGTGGGTGGGCACAGGCCGGGTTGGGTGGGCACAGGTCTGGGCTTGAAGATCCAGGCACCGCTGCCCCCTCCTGGCTAATGTGTGGCTGCTCCTCTGACAGGCACTGCCAGGCTAAGCTGTTGAGGTTGAGGACACAGCGAGTGACTGTCCAAGAACAGCATGTGACAAGCAGACCCTTCCCGGCAGTCAGCCTGGCTGAGAGCTGCCTCCGCTGCCCATCCTGTCCAGGCTTCTCACTGCCCAAATCATCTTCTGGCCCTCACGCCTTCAGGGCAAAGCCTGAGGTCCCTCCCAGCTGCCCATGATGCAGCCCCGGTGACAGCCCCGCCCCTGCACCCCAGGCCCCTGCCTCTCTGCATCTCCCCAGTTCCCTGTCCCTGGCCTTTCGGGGGCACCTGCATGCTTTGCTCTCACCTTGACCTCCACCTTCGCCCTCCCCAGCACACTGTCTCCTCTTGTCCTCCTTGGTTCCTCCCTGAGGAAACCCCTCTCCCCCACTTTCAGCCAGAGAAATCCTACTCCTCTGCCCACATCCCCACCTGCCCTGCTCCTGTCCCGGGGACTGTCCACTATCAGTAACTCAGACTGGGGATTTGATCTGAACCTGGTGAGCTGCATCCACCTCCAGAACCAGATGCCTGCTGGTTTTAGACAGGGTGCCTGTCACCACCCAGGATGCCATTAAGGAAACTAGGGCCCGGAAAGGATCAGGGACTTGCCCAAAGTCTCCTATTACATCGAAGTAGCAGAGAGAGAACCAGGACACAAGACCCAGGGCTCTCCTTGGATCACAGTCTCTGATTGAATAGAAACCAAGCCGTGCTCAGTGCATTCCAGCCAGCAGGCACAACGAGGGCTCAGAGCAACAGGCAGGACAGGCGTTCAGACGTCTGGGGGCCCCCGAGGGACCACAGGTCTCACAGCAGAGGATAGGGGCCCACCCCCTCCCCAGCAGCAGCAGACCCTCTGTGTGCCCCGCAAGCCCATGGGGCAACCGAGCCTCTGATTTCTGGGAAGGGAGGCCTGGGCCAGGTTGAGGGTGACCCAGCCTCAATGGCCTCGGGCCAGGGCCAGTGCTGCCTCCTCAGCCCCATCCACGTCAGCTTTCCCTGCAGCAGGCTGTGAGCCCTGATGGTCCGCCAGTGCTGACGGGGCCAGATCTAGGGCTGGGACCCCCACCTTCCTGGTGAGGGGGCGGTCTGCAAGCATTTCAGGCCGGGGGAGCCCCCTGCCTTCCTCCCCAACTGCTTCTGCCCGTCATCCTGGTGCACAGCTCTTCAGGAAATCAAGTCACTCCACACCGCAGCAGATCACAAGCCACTCCAGTCTGTTCCCTGTGCTCCCTTCCCTCCAGCTCTGACAGACCCAGCTCGCCCCTGGAGGTGCCCCCCAGCCCTCCCATCCCTTGTGCCTCACAGTTCCAAGTTGCGTGGGTCACTGGCCACCTTGGTCCCCAGACTGTGCCCTCCTATAAAATGCATAATTCCTCTGGGGCTCTGGTGTCCAGGGGTGCCCCCCAACACCTCCC